TTTATGATACAAAACGACCCTGAAAATCCCAGGTCGCTCGCTCAACTCGTTTTCGAGTTTTCGTGCGGACAGATGCACAGACACACAGACAGACAGAAAAAGTTTTTTCCGACCAGACGGAGTAATAGGCTTCGCTTATCGCTCAGCCAATCATGTCTTGGATTTTAGATGAGTTGTTCAACTTAAATTTTCCCCGTCAATGAAGCATTTGACAGCTGAAGTTTTCACCCAAGTAAATGTTAAGTTTCCCGTGATGTAACAGTATAAGGCTTATTGAAAGAAAACAATAAAGTGAGATGAACATGATTATTTATTGATTTATTGTTTTTTTTAAAAAGCTTGCGAAACATTTCCTACTTTTTGTGCATACGGCGCTTGTATTCAGCTTTTTGCTGGGTAGTCTGGAAAAAAAACGGTCATGGTTAGGTAACTATACTATTTGTTTAAATAAAGAAAGGTAGAGATCATTTTGCTAAAATACTCAGCATATTATAGGGTGAAAAAGGATGAGCCTGGTGGTGGGCCTGGGCTCGAGCATGGGCCTGGGGTCAGTCCTGAGCTTGGGATTGGGGCTGGACATCAAGTTGCTGAGCCGGAGCCTCAGGGCGGGGAGTGTATCTAGCCATAGGCTGTGCTGACCCCCGCGGGTCAAAGTGCCCCCCCCCCCCCCGGATGAACACTAGGGGGCGTCGATCTGGCAGCACTTTCGATTTCGACTTTTGGATACCACCAAAAAGTTTCGTTTTTTTGTGCTGATTCCAGAAATGACCTCGTTTTTGCGATTGGACAACGACTTCAACTCCCTACTGGACGTTTTATGCGAAAAAGCGGAATTTTTGTCCTTTTTGAGACTTTTATGCCCATGATAACATCTCGAACCGTCGGGGTGGCTGTTGCATGGTCGGGTGGTCACCTCTGGCCCTAAAGACAACCTTTAAAGCTCGGCCAAGCCACCAGACTCCTTATAAGTGTGTCCCAGACCTCAATTTTTATGCTTTTTTCACTAAAAATTAATGGTTCTATAACGATTTTCGAGCTTTCTGCGGGTTTACTGACGACCCAGTCAATATGTACCATGACCAAAGGTGGTAAAAAGGTGTACTGGGGTAGGAAGGACACAGACCACACCCCGGCCCAAGGCTGGGTTGAGAGAATGTTGCATTTTTGTGGGGAAAAAATTGTTCAAATGTCTTAGAATTGGCTTCTGTTTTAGGTGCAGTAATCAAACAACACTTGTAGGAGCTTTAAAAATATTTTTTCCCGTGCAAAGGCAAATTTCTTTACTTTTAGCCCATTTTTGGGTGTTTTTTCTCTTTCCTTATTTTTTACTCAAAGAAAGAGTGCGCTAGAGACATTTTCGATTATTTCAAACGAAAGAGCATGAAGAGACATCTATTATCTACCTTTCAATCGGTCCTCAGACGCTAAGGAGTCCACTGAGACGCCTGGATCGTTTCCCAATGTCGAGAAACCCCCCTAAAATTCGCGTTTTTTTCGGGTTTTGAGGCTACAAATGGACTGGTAGACTCAAACGGACTGTGGGAATCGATTCCCTGCGTCAAAATACGTCTAGAGACATCCTGGTCGTGTTCTTAAATCA